GGGAGATCTACGTTCGCGAAGAGGATTTGGAGGCAGGTGGGATTTGTGCTTTGCATTCGCGATGGAGGTCCCGCATTCGTGAAGCTCTGAGGTAATTGGACTACGCTTTCGCGATGTGGTCTCGCGTTCGCGTTGAGGAAGTTGGTCGACTGAGTCTCCAGGCCATTTTGCCTACGTGTTCGCGATGTTGGTTCCGCATTCGCGTAGGGTCGAGCTGAGTAACCTTCATGTTCGCGTGTAGACCATCGCGTTCATGATGAAGGATTTTGGACTGAGGCAATTATGTGCTTCGCGAACGCGAGGATGTGGCCGCGTTCGCAAAGAAGGGATGCCTGGGCAGTATTAAAGTTTCCAAAAAACGAGGGTTGGCCATTTTTATCAAAACTTGAGATTGGGAGCTCAGATTTGGACGAGAGTTTTAGGGATTTTCAGAAACATCGATTGGGTAGTGATTCTTCACTTGTTTTTAGTTATATCCCACTAATCTATCATTAATTTCATCCTTTAATTTCGGATTTGGGTTGAAAATTTTGGGAAACATAGGAAACGTTCTTCAACTATGTTTTTGAGTTTTGGTTGGGATTTTGATATCGGATTTGTATAATTTTGGTACGAGTGAACTCGTGAGTGAATAGGTATTCAATATTTGTGACTTTTACCCGATTCCAAGACGTGGGTCCGGCTTGACTTTTTAGGAAGAATTTTGAAATTCTTGTTAAAGTCTTGATTTCATTAATTAGATTAGTCTATTGTAGTTGTATTTATGATATGTAATTATTTTTGGCTAGATTTGGGCCATTCAGAGTCGGATAATTGAGGAAAGGGCATTCTTACTGATTGATTGAACTTTGTACGAGGTAAGTCGTATGCCTAACCTTGTGTGGGGGAAATCCCCTTAGGATTTGACACTGTTGTGATATGTGAGCGCCGTGTACGTGAGGTAACGAGTGCGTACACATGTCATTTGTTGTAAAACCCGACTTTTACTTAGTAGAAACCTATTTTCATCTTAATTGAGTTATACCAACATGTGTAGTTATCCTGTTTAGCCTAATATCACATGTCTACATGCTTTAACTACTTATTTGAACTTTGTGCATCATGCCTAGTTGATTTCCTGCTTCTCCTTGACCTTTATCAGTCTTAACTGTAGAATTTTTACTGTTAACTGTTGTATTTATCGATTTGAGATGTGTGTTTACTTTTGAGACTATGAGGCGGTACCTCGGGAGTTCTCCCTGCATATTTACTTTTGAGACTACGAGGCGGTACCTCGGGAGTTCTCCCTGTATATTTACTTTTGAGACTACGAGGCGGTACCTCGGGAGTTCTCCCTGCATATTTACTACTGAGACTACGAGGCGGTACCTCGGGAGTTCTCCCTGCACATTTACTTTTGAGACTACGAGGCGGTACCTAGGGAGATCTCTTCACATATTTACTTTGGGACTACGAGACGGTACCTCGGGAGATACCCTGCTGTTTAATCCAGTTTGTTGTGTTTCTATTTTGCTGTGTTTTCCTTTTTTTAAATTCTAGTCTCTTATTATATTGCTACATTCTCCTGCTTTATTTGTTATATACCAGTGAGCCCTGACCTGACCTCGTCACTACTCTACCGAGGTTAGGCTTAGCACTTGCTGGGTACCGTTGTGGTGTACTCATGCTACTCTTCTGCACATATTTTGTGTGCAGATCCAAGTGTTTCTTATCAGCCCCGCTATTAGCTGAGAGTACTTGCTACTGTACGGAGACTTCAAGGTACATCTGCCGCGTCCGCATACCTCGTAGTCCCCCTCTATTCTCTCATATATCATTTACCTTCCGTACTTCCTTTTATTAGACTCTGCTGTTAGGGGTGTTCATGGTTCGGTTTGGATCGGTTTTTTCCTAAAAAGAAACCAAACCAAGTAAGTCGGGTTTTCAAATATTTGAACCAAACCAAACTAATTAAGTTATTTTTTATCGAGTCGGTTTATGTCGGGCTTTGTACGTTTTTCGGTTTTTTGGTTATTTATCGGAGTTTTCTTCAATATGAGACATACACTACCAAACACATATTCCGGCGAATATATTTTCAATGTAACACTATCAAATCAATTGCCCTTTGAGAAATCTATCATTTAAAAGATATATTGATGATAATTGAATCAAATAGTGATGAATAATTTAAGGACTCGATTAAAAATAGATTATTTTAACATAAAATGAATTCATATACTTAGCAAAAGAAAATTACCAATCAAACTAGAATGTAAATGCAAAGAACTGTACTAAAGGTGAAAACGATTAACATGTACCATAAAATGTTAGAAACTTTGTACAAATATATACATATATATAGGTATAATAATAAATTTGAAATAACTACTTCTATAGTCGGTTTGGTTCGGGTTTTTCGGTTATTTTTTGATTAAGACCAAAACCAAATCAAATTTGATTGGTTTTTAAAATTCAAAACCAAACCCAAACCAAACCAAAAAATATCGGGTTTTTTGGTCGGTTTGGTTTGGTTTTCGGTTTGGTTCCATTTTTTGGGTTTTTATAAACACCCCTATCTGCTGTATAGAGATACTAGTTTCCTTCTATAGCTTGTGATGTATAATGTTTCGGGTCTTGGGAATACTGTGTATTACTAGAGTGTTGGTTATTGTACATGCCGAGCGATATTGTTACGAGTTATTTAGTTATCTGTTGCAGTTAGTTGTTAAGTTTTACTTTCATTTTGTTATTTCCGCATTGTGTTAGGCTTACCTAGTCGTAGAGACTAGGCGCCATCACGATGACTTACGGAAGGAGAATTGGGTCGTGACAAGTTGGTATTAAAGCTCTAGGTTCATAGGTGTCGTGAGTCACAAGCTGGTTTATTAGAGTCTCGCGGATCGGTATGGAGACGTCTTTACTTATCTTCGGGAGGCTATGGAACAGCTAGGAAAACTAAACTTCTTTGATTTTTTATCGTGCAAAAATTGTTGACTTCAAAATTCTAAACTTCTGTATTCTATTCTCTCACAGATGGTGAGGACACGTATATGCGGATCTGATGACCAGGCACCCCGCGCCCCCTGCTAGAGCCGCGAGAGGCAAGGGCCGGGGTAGAGGCCGAGGACGTTCACGTGGTGTAGCCAGAGCACCCGCACGAGCTGCTTCAGAGGAGCCCCAGTAGCTCCAGCTGGAGGGCAGGCACCTGAGGAACCTGTTCCTGCACCAACCCTCTAGGAGGCTCTAGCCCAGTTTCTAAGTATGTTTAGCACCTTACTCAAGCTGGATTGATTCCACTTGCTCCTGACACATCTCAGGCCGGGGGAAGAGCACAGACTCCCATCGCCGGTACTCCAGAGCAGCGGGTTCAGGTCAACTGGGTTCCAGAGATTATACCGATAAAGCCGGTAGCTCCAACTCAGCCCAAGGTTAGGGCAACAGTTTTTGAGGCAGAGCAACTCAGACATGAGAGGTACAAGAAGTGCCACCCTCCTACCTTCAGTGGATTGGCTTCCGAGGATGCCGAGGGTTTTCTGGAGGAGTGTCACCGTATTCTCTGTACTATGGGTGTAGCAGAGTCGAGTGGGGTTTCTTTTACTATATTCCAGCTTAGAGGAGTAGCCTATCAGTGGTGGTGTTCTAATGAGTTGGGTAGTCCGGCTGAGGCAGCTTCACTTACATGGACTCAGTTCTCAGACATGTTCTTGAGGGAGTATGTTCCTCAGAGTCTCAGAGACACATGGCGTACGGAGTTGGAGCAGTTGCACCGGGGTGCTATGACTTTGTCAGAGTATGCAGTTCTCTTCAGTGATTTGGCCCAACATGCACCAGC